GGGGAAGGGGAAGGATGGGTATATGTCGCACCGCCACAGAATATGATGCAAGCTGTCTGTGGCTGAGAAAATAGGGGACGAAGGCATTCACGTATCGCCACAAAGCTGGATTGTCCCCGGTCACGACTGTTTACAACCGGGGCTGAAGTCGAGATTTTGGGAAGAAGATGCTTGTAAGGAAGGGACGTGCTGGCTTTTTTGGCATTGCGAAGCCGTAGCCGAACGGCCGGAGTTCGGAGAGCTGATCGCGTTCTTTTAGATGACATTCGCTGGGAAACTGGAGGGCACAAGGCTTTCCCGCCAATCATTTTAGCGCTTTTTGATATACACAATTCCAACTTCGTTCACCCTGCTGAACCAAAGTGCCCCGAACAAACGTTTTAATGCCACCCGTCGTAAGTCAGCAGCTAGACTTGAAGCACATGAGATAGTGGTGTAGAAGAGAAGGATCAGCGGATGTTAGATCTGAGAGTCGATTTACAATATTGGCTGTCTAGACAATAGTTATCTCGTATTTGTAAAAGCGAAGTCTTCTCTCAGCCCAGACGATCGCTGCCATGCTTGTCTGATAGTGGACAGCTGAGAGGGGTGACTATGAAGGTAAGTATCTGCTAAACCACATAACTTTTGAACAATGTAGGGAGATGGAAGTGACTGGGGACCATGATTGACCCTGAACCCCGCCGCGGATCGCTCTGTAGCTAGGTGCAGCAGCCTAGGTTGGGGGCTGCGTTGATCCCTGCTACAGAACTAGGCCTATAAAACCACCCACCCCCTTAGACGCTCCAGGAACCCTTTCTTTTCTTCTTATTATCTTGGTTCGTTGCCTCGGTAAGACAGCAATATGGCACGCCACAAGCAAAAGGTCACTTCCCAATCTTCTTTATCTTCCTTTTTGCTCGGTTCTCTCTAATCCAGTTTTAGGTTCCACATGCAGTTGCCCGACCATCTGGCAAGCAACCTCGTACTGTCCTCCATGCGAAGGCTGCGCGTAAATCAGGCAAGAAACCTCCTCAAGTAGGAGGCGGTAAGTTATTGATGTCCAGCACGGCTACCTCAGTTAACAAACCACGCAGTCAAAAGACCCCGTCGATATAGGCCAGGTACCGTTGCTCTCCGGGAGATCCGACGCTATCAGGTACTCTTGTTTTCCTTCTCGTGAATATAGTTTTGACATATTGCGCAGCGCTCAACAGATCTGCTTATACGCAAACTGCCATTTCAGCGGCTTGTTCGCGAAATCGCGCAAGGTTTCAAATCGGACCTTCGATTTCAGTCATCTGCGATTGGTGCCCTTCAGGAAGCTACCGAAGCGTACCTTACCTCACTCTTTGAAGATACGAATTTGTGTGCCATCCATGCCAAGAGAGTCACCATACAGCCTAAGGATATCTTGTTGGCACGTCGGCTGCGTCGGGATATTGATTGAGGAATATAGAATTACTCCAGGATAACTTGGAATTGCGTAACTGAACCCTTCTAGAAGAATGATATGTCTTTTGGATATGGATGAATACGGACGAATATGATGTCCACCTTGGGAAAATGTCCCAT